GAGGGCAGCCACCACCTACTCCCTGACTCATCAGGGTTCATTTCCACCAACCCCGCGTGTAAAATCTTTGGCAAGCGGGTCTGCCCTGGCTGCTGAGGGACTCTCCAGGCCTGTGTGCTGCTTGCACCAAGGCTCTGGCTATTTTTAGGCAACAGCTAATCCATTAAACACGTACTGCTGCCACTGATGCCTCACAGAACACAGCAATCAAATTAAAAAATAGTGGAATGAAAGAAAAGCCACTGGCAGACCTGCACTGAGAATGTCACTAAAACACAGTCTGAGTGTGTGTGCGCACACACACACACACACACGCGCGCACAGACCACCGGGAGAAGAGAATGGCACTGAATATTAAGCAAGCTACCAAGGAGGTAAAAGGAAGCAGTCACCTTGGGAATCTGGGAAGCGACAATCCTCATAACACGGAGCCCAGCGCTTAGGAAAGGAGCAGCCAATGATGAGCGTCACCCCAGAGCATCTCACTAAAATGTACTACAGTTCTGCTGAGCAAATTCTGTGTCTTCCTCAGAAGCGCTCAACCTGGGGGGCACCAATAAAACACTGTTTTCCGGACAGAAGCCAAGGGCTCCCCAGGTAGGGGAGCAGGACGCTAAGATCCTCTCTGCAGAAGAGAAATGCAGGAGCCCCTGTTTCAGCGATGGTCCTCTTCCTGATGTGCAGGGCTGGACCATCCAACCATCCTTCCAGTCCAGCTCGCACTCAGAAAAACAGATGGTATTATATGCACCCAGGCTAGCGTGAGGTCATTTCGCCTTCCTTATAGGAACAGTGGGAGGGGCGCTCCGGGGCCACTCATGGGAACACATCACCGGAAGAGAGGCCGAGGAAAAAATGGCTTATTGTGCTCACTGGAAAAGCTGTCTCTCCTTCCATAAAACTCTTTTTGTAGAGCATGAGCCTTTTATTTATCTTTCAGAAGCTAACGTTTCTCTTCTTAGGGATGAAGTCACCCACGCTGAAGCAGGGAAGGGAAACCAGCGTTGGCGAGGGCCTACTACGTGCTCCATCCTGTGCTGGTTCCTTTGAATGCATTTTCTCTCATTCTTACAATAACCTTTACTTTTTGCACTACAACGAAAGCCAAATGGAAGGCTCACATGTCACTTGCACCATGAAGTATTTGTCAATAACCTGTCCAAGATGTGCACAAGGTCCAGGGCTATGGCGTGGGGAGTGTTGGAGGAGAGATCCAGGCGTGGGTCTTTTTGCCTTAGGTCCTGCATTTTCTAACCAGCTAACCTGCTTCCCACCCAAGCAGACAATGCTCTATCTTCAAACTGAGTCACACCGGCTCCCACATTGATGCTAACGCCCGGGGATCCCTTTGGGGTCTCGCCACAGACTTACGGACTTGAACTTGGAGAATGTTAAGTGGTTTATATTTGGAAGTGAGGCCCAAGGGAAGCAATCCCGCCAGGGTCACCAAGCTCAAGAGGACAGCGGCATGGAAGCAGTGACTCCTGCCCACCTGTGGTGGAAAGGCTACCTGTCCTTCACCAAAAGAGGAAGGAGACCGCAGGTGTCCACCCAGAGGCTCTGTGCGGTGCACAAAGCACTGACAACACCTGCCGTGACCTTTTGCTTTCCCACTGCACAGGGCAGGGGACCTGGGATGCAGGGACGTTTCTGGATATGACAAAACCACAGGGTGGTGACAAATACGCAAAAGCATTTTTCTCCTACGCTGCTTCCTCTAGAGCTTTAGCCAGAGACCACCCTGGAGGTGCCTTCCCACAATAATAATTAGGAATTCGGCTCCTTAAAATAATCCTCCCAATGAAAACTCCCTGAGTTCCATACAGGATGCGCTCCCGCCTACGAGGTCCAGGTGCTTCATGCTTTATTAGCATGAAGTCAGGGAAGTTTCCCTTTATGTCCCTAACTCTGGTTTTTGGCTAGTGGACGCTAGTACATTTTACGAGGGCTGTTCTGCAAGGCGGGAAAGTGAAGGGTTACAAAAAGTAGAGGTGGCCTGAGAAAGGATCTCCTATCAGGGATCATTTGCTGGTTGGAGAGATGAGAAAAACCCCAGCTCTGAGAGGTCAGACAACTTGTCTCACCACCAACCAGACCCCAGGCTCGTGGCTCCGCCCACCAGCCACGTGCGCTCACGGGGATGCCTGCGGTAGGCTACCTAGTCATGCATCCCCCTGGTCCTGCTTCTGTGGAGGATTCACGCCCGGGGCAAAAAGCCACCTGCCCTATAGAAAACCACCCCTTCCTTCCACAACAGCACCAATGAAATGTGTGATTTTTGCCAATTAAGTCATATACTTAGCACATTTCTAAATCTCCCTGTGGGTGCAAATGCGAGTGCTTTCTAACGAGCTGAGAAGCTAGGACTGGTTCTCCAGGCCAGCGGGCGAAAGCCAAGCGACACTGAGGAGGGAGGGAAGCCCTCCGCCCTCGGAGGGTAAATTAAATCCAGACGTTCGTTCTCCCCAGCCCTCCCCTCTCCTCCTCTCGCCTTCTGTCTCTGATTCTCCACTGACTGCTCCTGGCACCTGTGGCAAACACAGCTGGGGGAGTATTTAAGCTGTGATGATGTCAGCCCGTTTCTGATAGGTTTCTCGCTCGGTAAAATGGATACATCATCGGTTGTGTCTGGGCCCCACACTTCTGTTTCTACAGCCTGAAGCCCCAGCCAGCCCTTTTCACCAACCAGGGCGCCCTCCTGCCTGTCTTTGCAGAAGCCCTTCCCGGCGCGCAGCACGACCACACAGGGGCCGCCCGACAGCCCTAAGAACAGGCCACGACGAATACGCTGCCTTCTCGTTTGCACCTTGGTTGTCAGCAAAGAGACTGGTGGTTTGGCTACAGGGAAGGAAATGAGACTTCACACATGGAAGCCGATTTCTCGATCGTTTAACCGTTCATTCTGCAAAGCATCGAGCAGGGAAAACATAGAGAGATGCTTCCTCTCTAAGACATGCCAGGTCGACTGGAAACCTGGAGGTCTGTGAAGTTCTCATCCGCAGAGGCTGCAGCGGCCCACGGATGCCGCCCACAGCTCAGAGCTGCTCTTTATTGAAAGTTGAAAGAGGTGCCTGGCAGGGCCAGTAGCATTTCAAAGTAACCCCTCCTTCCACGCCCACCTCTGTTCACAGGAACGATTAAAGGGGCCACGGAAAAACACATTTACTTTTCCCTTCTTGTTTATTTTCCATGCTCCACCTGGGGTGTGTTAAAAGACAACTTTGCTAAAGACAGCCCGTTCTTTCAACTACCACCTGCCCTCATCCCTGGAGGAAGGTGGCGGTGAGCAGCAACTACAGATGGGCAGTGGATTCTGAATAATGACGCCCTTTCCCAAATATCCTGCTTTTTTTTTTTAAATCAGAACTTTGAGAAATCTCTCTAGGGCCTTACCAAAGCCCACAGTGACATCTCACCATAAAAAAGAAGAGTCTTTGGGACTCAAAGCTCCTGGCAACGCGGGCCCCCTGAGATTGTGCAAGGTCCCATGCCTGGACAGTCACAAGCAGTTCTGGAGACACTTTGGAAAATCGCTCTTCCCTCCCTCACTTGGTTTTTTTGTTTTTTTTTTTAACATACTCAGAACAATGCAAACCATTAACTGGTTTGTCTTTGTTGTTTATTTTCTTGGAATGTCCCAAATACCAGCTACGCCATGACCATTTTTCGACTCATTTCAACCTGAAGGAGGTGCTGTCACATCTCAGTGTTTCAAAGTTCTGGTGGAACCATTCCCAGAGTGGGTGCGGCTCCACAGCCAGGGAAGTTCCCGGTCCAGGAGTCAGATCTGCTGGACTCCAAGCAAGCTGGGCAGCGAAACTGCTGTTTCATACAAATGGGTGGAATAAATGCATTCAAGCGACTTAAGAGACTGGAAAACAGTGGACTGAAGGAACTCATGGAAGTTAAGAGAGTTCATCAAAGCTGCAGTTTTAACACGACTCAGCTGGGCTGCATCTGACCCTTGCCCTTGGGGCTCCTATTTACCAGAAGACCTAGGACAGCCCTGACTTTCCAGATTACATGAACCATGCCTTTTATTCTCTGTATCTGATGCTTTGATATCTTGGGGCCCTGCTGACTCTGAAGGGACTGCCCTCCCAGGGTTAGCTAATTACTAGAGATCGCTAACAACTCACCTGCCTAGGAGTGTGTCCTTCATATGCAAAGCAAACACCCACATCCCAGCCACTACCTCTAAGGGGCTCTCACTCTCTAAGCCACTATCCACCTGCCCTAACCACCCCAGGGCCACGTACCAGACACCAAGGGACAGCCCCTATGCCCAGAAACTGCTCAAGTAATTCAAACTTGCCAATCCCGTTTACCCTGCCTGCTTCCCAAGGAAACCACAAACCACAATAAAGGCTCTTGCCCACGCCTTCTCCTCTCTCCCTGTGCCTCCTGACGGACCCTGGTGCTTCTGCATGTTGCCTTGCATGGCCGTGCATGCCCCCTCCTCTTGGGATCTGAGTATAAGAAACTATCTTTTCTAATGGCAGTTTCATCTCATCTGTTGGCCTAAATAACAAAACCTAACAAAACCTACATTTTAAAACACGGATATTGGAATAAGATGTGGTGACTCTAGGTACCTAACGTTCTCATCCAGCACTGTCTCTTTTGGATTAAAAAAAAAAGGCAGAATGACTTTTTAAAATCAGGGTTCCTCATCTAAACCACAGAACAACAACAAAAAAAATAACTTCAGTGGTGACTTTCTTAATTGTCCCGAGGATCGTACCCGACTAGCCCTACTCTAGATGCAGAGAAGTTAACTCATTACAAACAGTAGGTGCCATGGTGCATTAGGGCTTAATTCTCTTAGAGAACTTGGCCGGGAAAGATGACGTGTCTAACCCCTAGGTATACGTGAAATCCCTTAATCGTCCCCACAGCACAGACAGGTCTGCCTCTTGGAAGAAATTCACTGGGCCAGGAAATGGGGAAGGCGGTGCGGTGGGGCGTCCCCCTACCTGCGCGACCTGGATGAACGTTACCTGTGCTCGGTGATCCCCGACGGCAAACTGTATCACGGCGACGCCCGGGCTGGGGCTGTCCTCGATCCTCTCCACGGTGCTGGAGTCGATCTTTAGGTCGCTGCTGATCTCTGCGCTCTGGATGAAGTCTTCCGTTTTTAAGTCCTCCACCTTCTTCAGCTCCCCGTTGGCCAACTGGATGATGGAGCCTTTCATGAAATAGGGAGGCAGCGTAGGGGGGGCTGCTGCGGGCGATGCCACGGACTGCACCACAGGCAGGTGGATCTGGGCCTGCACCATGGCCGGATAGGCGGCCTGGGTGACCAGGGCCTCTGGGCTGAAGTTCTCGCTCTTGGGAAGGGCGGTGGTGACGAACGTGTGAGGCACTGCAGCAAACTGGGGTGATGAAGTGACTATGGCCGAGGCCGCTCCGGACCCCTCCATGTCAGCACTGCCGACCGGGATGAGCAGGGGCTGGGTGCCGGGGATGACCAGGTGCTGGGGCAGGCCGCCCGCGTACGTGATTGCTTGCTGCTGGCTGCTCAGGTAGCCGATGACAGGCGGCTGGGTCCCCGCGTAGAAGGCCGTGGCCGGCAGTCCGACCGGGAGTGGCTCTGAAGCACTATGTGTGGTCTGAATGACCGTGTGGGGGGACAGCGTGGCCACGGCGGCGGCCTTCACGCCTTCCGGGCCCAGGGCCTGTTGGGGTGACAGCGCGTAGGATCGGTGCCCCGGCTTCCCTAAGTGCAGGCCACTTTTGTCGTTGAGGGTGGAGGGGGAGGCCTCCCGGTGCGTGACCTGCTGCACCTCCAGGTCGGAGGCAGGGGTGCCGCTGTTGGGCAGGACCATCACAGAGGCCCGCACCCCCGAGGAGTCTCGGCTGCTGTAGTCGGCGGGGCTGGGGTGGACCACCACGTGCCTGGACTCGTACGGGTGGGGGTGGGGCACGGGCTTGCCGCCCGCCTTCACCAGGCCCAGGTCGGCCGCGGTGGGCGGCCCGTACCGGCGGCCCTTCTCCAGCTCCCCGTTCAGGAGCTCCTTGGCCTGCACGGCCTGCTGCAGCCGGCTGCTCTCGGCTTTCTTGGTGGCCTCGCGGGTGACGAAGTGGCTGCCGGAGTCGGTGTACTGCACGACGACCTGCGGGGAGGGCCCCAGGGTGAGCGTGTGCGGGATCATCGTCTGGTGGGGGTGGAGGTGGACGGGGAGGGCCGGCGGGGAGGCCGGGCGCGCGGCGTTCTGCGGAGAGCTGGAAATGTGCACGTACTGGTTCTGCTGGGTGGGCGGTGGGGACCCCGGGGGGAGGAGCCCCGCAGTCCTGCCCAAGTGCTGCTGCTGCTGCTCAGCCTTGTGTCCCGAGGCTTGGCTCAGACTACCCATGTTGGCCAGCAGAGTGGAATAGGCCTCCAGCTGGGAGCGCTGGGACGGAGTGGCGGCCCCGGCGGCAGAGGCCACCGCACTGGTGACCGGGCTGGCCGTGGGGGAGATCAGCTGGGAAGGGATGAAGCCGGCGTAGGGCCCGCTGTACTGGGAAGACCCGATGAACTGTAAAGTGTGCGGCAGGTGGGCGTACTGCACGGGCGACACTGGCGCCCCGGACTGCGGGGGCGGGTACGCCGCGGGCAGCGTCGTGGTCGCCGGGACGGACCGGGGAGCGCTGGGCGGGGAGTAGTCCAGCCCCGCGGACAGCGCTTTGTGTAAACCTATTCCCTGTTGTAAACCGAGCTCCGCCGGGGGCCCTCCGGCC